GTATCGTAGTACAGACATTCCTTATATCTTGATATCTTGTATCCCTCCCTCTCTCCTCCAATTTAATCAAATTTTCTCATCCTTTCTGGACCAAAATTGAAGCCAAAATTGTACGGTCGAGACATGTCCGAGGGATCGGCCGACACCTTCGGATACAAGTCCGATGAAGCGCGAAATATTGCCTGAACCCTCAAACCATTGCGACACAGGCCCTTTTTTTTTTCTGAGGACTTGGACAATCCTATTGTATGTTATTGTAGATATTTGAGTCCACTTGACATCTACATAAAATGAAATTAATGTTTTACTGATTTCGTCGCGAACGCGCCAAGCTTTTGAGAGCTTTAACATATTTACAATACAAACTATGTCCATCTTTCGACTTCCGACGTACATCTGAGACAAAATTTCAAACATATGAAAGTAATTGGTTGTCCATGGCCACTATGGGTGCCTGAAGGAGAAAATGTGGTCTTCTTGGTGCCCTATTCATGGTATAATCAAAAAGTGGCATTTACCCATTTTGCAATTCCCCATCACTTATGGCCCTGTGGTGTGCTGAATGAGGTGAATAAGGGTACAAACTAAGATCACATTAAAATATCAGGTATGGACTGTCCTTGATGTTGGTTGGAGACTTTATCAACAGTAGGATATAAACCAACCCAAAAACTTGTGTTTTTGAATAAGCCTAATCATGGAGGGGTGCCTAATGGCATCACAGTGCAATTTCTTTATAAATCTAAATCACAATGTTCTCCGTCATAGGAGAATCCTAGATCATGGCAGGGCTTTCAGAGAGCCCATAATAAGAAAATGATGCATTCTGAGGCAATTTAAGCTGTATCTCCACAAGATACCAAGGCTGGAACATAATTAATGAGATTTTACTTTCACCCTTTTAGTGCACTGCAACATACTCTACTGTATGACAGAATAATTCTCAGGATGTCATACAACAATAAATATGTGCTTAGAACATTGAACCACCCGGATTCTACACCAGGGAACGTTGGATGTCAAAATTCCCTTTTTGGGAAGCGAAGTGGTAGTGCCCAAAAAGGTAGGTTGTAGGTCAAACTATTGATACCTCTCCCGAAATCATGAAAATCATCAGAGGCAGAGGCTTCAAGAGTTGTCTTTCAAGAAATTAATCAACAGCTCTGGGCTAGAGCAGCTGTAGATCTGGTGGCAATAGATGTGAAGTAAAAAAAAAAAAAGGATGAGTCTGTGCTGGTGGTGGGATGGCAGCGGTAGCTGAAATTGGAGGCTTAGTCAAGGAGATAAAGGAGGAGGATAAGGGACAAGAGCAGGAGTTGGCAGGGGTCTGGTTGCATATGGGTGAAGTTCTTTGTTGATGGGAGAGCTTTGGATGATGATGGCAGCACCCACCATGAAGATCAGACAAAGTCCAACCATATCTACATATTTTTTCTAGATGGTGAGCAGGGGCAGTGGGTGAAGGTATCTACCAATTTTATGCATAGCCTCATGTGACTGTGCACAGCCTGAGGAGCAGGGTTGACTGTTCAGGGTTAGATTACTAGCTGAAGTAGGGTGTCAGGAGGTGGCTTTAGAATAGCTATCCAACCCCTCTTTTAGCAGGATTTTTGGATAGCGGGTTCTGGAGGCACACCAATGTCAGCCATCACATCAAGCACACGAGGTGGCAACGGCGGGCGCGCAGTGGCGTGTGGGGTATCCCACACTCATTATTTTAAGCCCAATTTAATGCTTATTTTTCCGAGGATTTTGGCAGTGGGTTTGGGAGGTGTGCCAACATCGGCCATCACATCGGGTACGCGAGGCAGCACGGGGCAGCGCGTGATGGCACTTTGAATGATGCGGGGTCACCCATTTACGGCTGATTTAATACTTATTTTTTCGAGGATTTTGGACAGCGGGTTTGGGAGGCGTGCTAGGCATCATGTTGGGCGCGCAAGGCGGGGCGGGGCAGCGCGTGATGGCGCTTCGGTGATCCAGGTCACCCATTTACGGCTGATTTAATACTTATTTTTTCGAGGATTTTGGACAGCAGGTTCGGGAGGCGCGCTGACGTTGGCCATCACATCGGGCGGGGGGTGGCGCGTGATGGCGCCTTAAGTGATCTGGGGTCACCTATTTATGCCCGATTTATTGGCTATTTTTTCGTGGATTTTGGACGGCGGGTTCGAGAGGCGCGCCGATCACGTCGGGCGCACACGTCGGGTGGGGGCGGCGCGCGATGGCGCCTTGGGTGATCCGGGGTCATCCATTTACGCCCGATTTATTGGTTATTTTTTCGCGAATTTTGGAGCACGCGTTAGCGAGGCGCACGTCGGGTGGCGGGCCGGGGGACGGCGCGTGATGGCGCGCATGTCACATTTTGATCACATTATTTATTTTGTATTTATCATATATTTTATTTGTATTTTATGCCGATTTTTTCACCCGACAGCGGCGGCGATGGGTGCGGTGATGAGCGTGGTAACGAGCGCACTGATGGGCCTGATGGCAGCAGGGCGCACACCGCCACATAGTCAGCTGAAAACCTCCAAGTCCCCGACCTACCAATATAGCGTGATATGGCGTGGAGCTATAGCGAGGTATAGCGCGGTTTATAGCGCAGCGCGCTAGTCGACTTTTCGCACCTCTCCTTAGACTTGCCATATCGGGCTATATGACACCTCTAATATGTGTTGTTATGTGGGATTATTAGGTGGCCACTGGTACTATGTTTCGGGAGCAGTTGCAATAAAGCAGGAACGTCGAGGCCTTCATACATTGCAGAGACAACGGCCATGAGATCGTTGTTGGAGATGCTCCACGTCTGGGAAAAGTTCTTCGCCCGCATCGTTTCACTGACAACCGAGCCGAGCACGTTGATATCCTCAATCTCTGCATCCAGTGGGTGGAGAAGAGCACCCAGAACTTTGACCGTGAGTGTTTTCCGAGTACCAGAATCAACCGTTGATGCTACGCCATTCAGGGGCTCGAATTTGGCGTAGTCTCCAGTCCAAACCCATTTTCGGGTGGATTGAACTCTGTGAGTGCCAACCACGTAGACATCCTGCATGATTAGCGGCTGAGCAGTGGCCAAGAGAGTCGAGTCCGGAGACCCAAGGTCTTCAACATCGACTTGGCCAACTCGTGCCTTGCCCCTCTCGAGTACAATCACACGAACCACCGCTGCTGCCACGGTGTTGTGGGATCTAATCAACGCAACGGCGAGATTGCCCACATTGAATGAGTGTTCGTCGGAAATCTCGACAGGGTTTAGCGTCGGTTTGTGGCCATCCGCAGTGTAGCAGCGCACACGTAGAAGACGGGTGGTCGCGAGACGTCGAAAATCAGAATTGAACAAAGTACTGATAATTGAAGCCTTGTGTAGACATTTGGTGCCGCCCGACTCGAGAGGGTAGTCAAGCCAGTCATTTTTTGCTACAAGAGGATGGCAGGAACTGCCGCGTCCGTGGGAAGGCTATCCGGGATATCTGAGGTAGAAGAAGAATCTGCATCGGCCAAGAAGTCACCGAGAAATACTGTGGGTGCATCATCTTCGGGGAGGAACAGTTCGTTGTTGTCGCCGGAATCAGGATGAAGAGGAGAGCCGGTAGAATCCAGCCCGTCATCAATGATAGATCTATCCTTCTCGCGCGCATTCCCCGGGTAGATATTGTTGCCATTTGGACGAATGAAGTCGACGGTGGGGTCCGCGAGAGCCTTGTCGAAGTCGAAGTTAATTCCAAGCTCTGCGAGAAAGCAAGATGCCTTGTATTCCCCCAATTCCCAGGAATTCCGTGTCGAAGCGTTACCCACATCAGCAAACCCTGGGTCTGCTACGTAGTGCTACGTAGGCCCTGTAGTGGCTAGTGGCTGTAGTGACTGTAGTTAGGTCCCCCCTTATGTAGCCGTCTGTAGTTGAGGGGGTTGCTCCATAGTGCTATGTAGTTGAGCGGGTTCTATGTAGTTCTACGTAGTTGAGGTTCTGAAGGGTCAGAAAAAGTCTTGCTCGATCACCGGCTACCAGTACTCTACTACTGTAATTCTGTTCTAATTCATTAAACTAAACAAAGTGCTTCCTGAGAGAATCGAACGCGCGACCTCGAGGGTTCGGCCAAAAGACAGACTTCCGTGCACTAACCAACTGAGCCAACAGAGCATGTAAGTCAGTGGGAATGAATCTGATACATAGGTACCCTCCTATATATATCCAAGCCAGGTTACTTTTCTCTCCGCCCTCGCCCGTTGCCCATTCACACTGTCTGCTGTAAGTATCTGGGTGTGAATGATTTTCTATCCAGTCTGAAAGCCTTTTCACTATGAAAAAAATTCCAGGGTGGGTAAAATATGTGCTAGTTGCTAAAAATAGACCAAAACCAAAGTTGTAGAGCTTGAAGAGAGCTACAAAAGTTTCTATACCATTTTTTGCCAGACAGCTTGGTTGAAGCGTAAAACACAAAATACTTTTCCACACGCGACGATTTTCAAGGGCAGAACAACTCAAAACAAGACTTTCTGCAATTTGGCAGATGTGTTGAAGAGTCACTGATCAGAAATCCATCGGCACCATATAATACCCTGTTGAACTACACAAACTACATAGAACCCCCCCAAACTACATAGAACTATGGAGAACCCCCCCCCCCCCCCCCAAGCTACATAGAACTATGTAGGGTCCCCTCAAACTATGTAGCACTACATAGTTGAGCCTAAACTACGTAGAGCTACATAGATGGCCGGAAACTACATAGCATTATGTAAATGACCCGGAACTATGGCAACTACAGACTGACTACAGTCAACTATGGCAAAACCCCGGGTTTGCTGATGTTGTTCCGGCGTTGTCAGATTTTCGCCGAAAATTGTCGCGTTGCCACGTTGTGACGGTTTCGCGGGGGATTATCGCGTTTTTCGGCATTGTTTGGCGTTGTACAATGCCACAATAGATTTATCAAAAGTCTGATGTGGGGGGCCCAAATCTATCTGGGTTGAGGTATATGGTACCTCCTGCATGTCATGCCTGTGTGGCTCAACGGTTAGAGTGTCCTGTTGTGGTCAGTGGTGTGTAGTATTTCATGAGGACGGCGCGGGTTCGACTCCCACTGCGGGCATATTGTTTCAACACCTTTTCTTTCCCATCGTTTCTTTTCTTTTTCCACCGGCGTTTATTTATTTCCCCTTTTATCTCCAGATTCACATTCACCCTGTCCAGTGTTGACCCCTGTGGAGTCAAATTCCCGGGTTGCAATACGACGGGCAAAGGGAAGGACCTTACAATTGTTTCGTCTTTTTCATTCCTCGACTCTGGTTTGGCTTTATGTTGTCATATCATCTTCGAATTTGGAACACTCGCCTGGCTTGAGTACATCAATTCCACAAAGGACGGTTAGAGAGGACTTGGAGATCTATGCTCCCGGTTCTGGGAATTGTGCAACGATTCTGGCTCTACTTTTGATGTCTGACTAGATCTTCTTGTGGTTTCTCCGTCCCTGGAGCTGATTCAGTTGAACTCAGAATCAACTGAGTAATTGTAATGTTCCTCAACGCTATTGTTCCGGTGTAGAACCGTCGAGCTATCAATATTCAATGGGGCTTCAGGAATTCCAGAAATTAAGTAGTATGGTACTGCCCGGCACTGAACAGAATCCGAGCCAACCGGCTTTCCAAGAAAAAACTCCCGTGCATGAGATATGTCCTCTCAGAGCTGAGACATACCATACAATCACCCACTTCAAGACATCTGGCTCTGTCTCCTGGTTGTATCAACCTGGAGTTTGAAGTGGTTCGCGATCCTTTCAAGACTCCCATCCTTGCGAATCGAATTCTCAATCAAGTTAACTCTCCATTGCAAATGCCATGTCAAAAGAATAATTGCCCTACGTCTGGTAGCTCCACATATGTTCTCTCTGGAGCTCCAGTTCCGAAATAATTTGCCTACATCTCCCCGGCGCGATTTCAAAACTATTTATTGCGAAAATTACTCTCGGATTATCCAACACACTTCAGTGGATATGACTTCGCTGCAAGTTCTAACGGGGGCTGAGTCGGCCGCCACCTCACCCTGCATCGACCCTCCATGGGTCCCAGTATGATATAAGTTCTCAATCCAATCATGGGCAATTGTTGGATCAGGACTTACAAGAGCGCGGTGGGGGACAGGGAAAACCTTTCAACCGTGGGAATTTTTTGGGTTAGGGTTTCTCAATGAGCATAAAATAACATCTGCTCCGGGTGATTCTGGAGATACCAAAGGAAAAATAAATAGATTTCATGATGATGATTACCTGCTATCATATCGGACAAGCTTACTTCGAGGACCATCAAAATAGATTGGAAATGTGGTTCACACTGGACTGCACAGGACAATATCACCCCCAACTTGTTGCTGAACCATTGAAGAAAATATTGGCACCAGTCAAGTCCTTTGCTGTGCTGGCAATTAACCCGTCTTGTCTTGTGTTTTTTTAACACTGTCTGTGTTCTCTGTCAGTACACTTACTATTCCATTAAATAAATATATTTCAAACAAACAGCGAGGAAATCAACACACGGCAGGCATACATAAATACAGGACTGCATATCATCATTCAAAACCCAGGCTGCAATCAATTACACCAGTTCTTCTTCCAACTCAGGCTCTTCAGCATCAGAAGATTCCTCATCTGCTTCCTCCACCTTCCCTGCAGGAGCATTGAGGTCTGCCAAACAGACCAAGTTCTTTTGGTGTTGCTCTTTCACTTCCTCACTGATAGCACCAATTCTCTGGTCAATGTCCTGCACCCTTTTGGCCTGTGAGGAGCACTCAAAGAGTGGCCCCGCAGTTTCCCACAGTTCCAATGCCTTGAGGAATTCACCATTCTTCTTAGCTATGTCCCCAAGGCGGATCATACACTCTGCTCTGCTGCAGTGAACATCCATGGCAGTAAATCCCTCCAAGGCAACAGTAAACAGGTTGACAGCAGTAACTTCATCGTTCTCTGTGAGGTGGACATCCCCAATGAATTGCAAAGCTTTGTGAATGCCCAATCTCTCCTTTAATCTGAGAGAGTATGCAAGTAAGACTGTACTCCATGAAGGTTCATGATGTGCACCCCAGCGAGTGGCATCTGCCAGTCTCTCCAGGCAGTAACTCACTAACTCAGGCCACTCAATCTTTAGGCACTTGCAAAATTGCAAGCATGACATATCTCCTTCTCTCAGATTCAGATCGGCCTGAACGGCATCACAAGCAGTCAATGTCCTTTTATCTCCAGTCTTTCCAAAGATGGCTTTGAATGTATCAATTTTCTCTTGTATGACATCACTTGAAACTCCCATGAGGATCTCCATTCTAGCAATATTCATCAAGGCAAGAGCTTTATAAAATGGCTGCCCTCCTTGATAGTTCTGTAGGAGTTGCCCATAGATGATACTGGCATGGACATACTCTGATCTGAGCACATAAACTTCTGCTTGGCAATTCATAAAGAGATAGCTCAGGTCCCCCTGGGATGCACCACACAGCTCTAGAAGGGCATTGGCCCTTGTGATTAGCCATATACATTCCCGATAATTACCCATGATTTGGCAGCACAAGGCTTCATAGTACAGTCCCCGTGCCTCTCCTTGCAGATTTCCAGAGATATTGCAAACTCTCCGCAGCTCCCGTGCATGGGACTGGCTAGCAATATAGTCACCAGAGGACCATTTGATAAATGAAAGACCATAAAGGGCCTTATATTGTCTTCTGATGTTCCCATGTAACCTTGCCAAGGAGAGACCTATTTGATAATATTTTAAAGCCATGGGAATGTCAAGCTCTGAGTAATAGTCTCCTAAAGCAATGTAAAAGCGGACTACAAGATGGTTTGTCAGTGCATATTATCCTGTGGGTTCACATTAAACATACATTTCAGATCAGGATCACTGAAATTGTTGAAGTGCTCTAAAGTCTCTGCAATCATTGTTTCGGGATGGGAGATTGAACGAAGTCTTGATGAACCAAAAAGTTCAGTCATAAAATATGCCTTCATGTGATGATCCCCTGAGTGTGGCAAGAAGGTGAGTGCCTCATCCATCAGCTGTATTGCTCCTTTGGCAATACCTGCACTGAATCGATTAAATCAGATATGCAGTAGATGCTATCCACTAGGTCAGGATGCCCCGGTTGTAACCCATTTTGGATGACATTCAGGATATTCGTGTAATTCGAGGTTAGTCGTTCAATGCAAAGGGCTCCTGATTGTTTTCCCCCATCCACTCTATACACTTGCAGGAGCTCCTGGAAGTGTTTAAGAAGCGGCCTGATCATTTTCCTTGTTGGTGGAAAGAATCTTCCCATGTATTCTCGAATTGGTACTAGAGCTTTCAGCCGTTGACGGTCATCGGTGTAGGCCAAAGCAGTGCGAATCAAAGCCATTTTACAATCAAGAATGTTCTGAATTGTAAAATTGCTTTGCTTCAGTTCTGCATCTGAAAGCCCATCTGGAAGGATTGACAGCAGGCTCAGAAGTTCCTGGCAGTCTGGTACAGATGTGATTCTGGGACTTGCAAGCGAAAGTGCAATGGATAATTCAAGATTGGATCTTTGATCATAACCGTCTGAGATGACTGAGGTTTGCTCATTCTGCCAGCGCAACAGGATTGCAGCACAGCCTTCTGCATCAACCATGTGGGCAAGAAGGTTGATTGAGAGTGGCATATTGTCTGCGAGGCTGAGGACTTGGTCTATTTCTTCCATTGAGTGCCCTTCATCTGCAATATCAACAAACATCTTGCGGGCAGCCTCCTGTGACAAAGGCTCCAGGGGGTGCAAGAACGGCCGTGTCCACTGTACTTTGGAGGGTCTTTCTGTTCCTCGCATTGTGATCTAGCAATTCCATAATGAGTAAAACAGGATGGGAACCATGAAGAAAGGACAAACCATCAATGCTAGACTGGCTATATCTGTGAGGAGGGATAGAAATTCCTCAATCTCTTTGCGGGATTCAATTGGCTCCCACACTGTTTCAAGGTTGTCAAGAATCAACAAAGTGGGTGGACCCTCTGAAAGGTGCCGGAAAACTGCATGAGTCAGGTCTTTCCCAGGTTTAATTCCTAGATGGGCCCCAATGAGACCTGCAAGTTCAACCTTGCTTGATGCAGTGTCACAGGCAACAAAGAATCGAGTTTGCTGGTACTTGGCAATAATCTCTTCGTGGTATAAAACAGTTTTGCTAGACTTGTCTTTCCCATCCCACCAGCACCTAGAATGGCTATTCTTGGGCTGCCTTGGTGGAAAAGGCTCAGGCTATCTGCAAGCTCGGATTCACGACCATGAAATATTTTGGGCTCAGCCGGCAACATCGAGATGGAATTGGAGCTATGACAACTATTATTAGGTAGGCACCTAACAAAACCAGTGTTATTTGGGATCACCTTGTGAATGAGCGAGAATAGATTCTGCTGGTCTGCACACTTGTTATTGCTACTGCTGCTGAAGAACGTGCTCACATACAGATGATTCTGAGTCTGAACTAGATATTGTCTCAATAATATTTAGCACCTCTTGATGTTTGATTTGGGCCTGTTCCTCCATTTCCCTAGCAGTGGATACAAGATCCAAAAGTTTGATCTGCAAACTGGCTTGAGTGGGCGGACTTGCCTGCATGTGCAGAGTAGTGCTTACCTGAAAGAATGTAAGTCCCTGTTCCAATCCCGCCTTGCAATCCTTCAGTAGCCCACTCAGTTCCCCTTGTCGAAAGAACTTCTTGACTCTGCTGCCATTTTGCTGCGCCTCCACAAATGTATGAATTTTGTGCAGGGTCCTAAATGCACTGAGTGAGCCATGTAGATGTCTATAAGAATGGAAGATTACTGAGTGAAATTTGCAATTTCATTCAACATTGTTGGTGGCAATTCTGTACCAGTATCCGACTTGATATAGACCCCAATAATTGCGTTGAGGATGATGTAGGTGTGCTCCATCAGCTCGGCGCATTCATTTTTATCCTGTTTGATAGTCTAGAACACCATCTCAGAGCCGCTCTGGTGCAGATTTGTTTGGGTAACATACCTGCACCATTTTCAACAGTGATTGTATGGTATTTGTCATAGCTTCTAGCCCAGGGATCTTGAGAGTGGTGACCAGGAC